AGCGTTCGCTAGGTGTTTCGACACGATTATGATGGTAATAAGAGCCAAATATGGTTGACATCTTAATCTCGTACTAAACAAAAATTGGTTTACACATATCTATTCGAAACGTGACTTTTCTTTCTGGTGATATTTCGAAATTGACCGACGATCCTAGACTTACCAAAATCACTTCCACAGTAACGAGCAAAGAGGTTTGAGCGTGCTGGACAAGACATGCATTTCAGTCTATGCGACGCTGAGGAAAAGAAAGAAGATAAGTAAGAAAAGCAATAATAACATGGCCATGTGGGGAAATTACAATTAGAAATCTCCCTCTGAGAGAGAGAGTCCAATAATAATCTCAATTCAAACCGATGATAAAGCTCTTACAGGACAGAATCTCATCTCCCGATTTAGCCTCCCATACTTCACAGCATCTTTCATACTTACTAAATATGTTCGCAGCCTCTTGAGATTTTGATCACATAACATGCATATTTTCAGATGCAACTATAATGTTTCAGACGCAAAAGTTAATGACCAAATCCCTTCCAAAAAAGGAGACTTACGACCAGCAGATGAGTAAATCCTTGTTACGTTACGTTAAGCTTAAGGGCTATTGGTAAGGCTTTCTTTGTAGTTGCTCAGGTTATTTCTCAAACATACTGACAAAGATCACTTTCTCAGATCATAGGGTAAACCGCAATTCGCCTCGCCTATGAGAAAGTGAACGCTAGCTTACCACACTTAGCAGGACCACCAACAACGTCGATGTCAGTCTTAGTAAGGCAGGCTTGTGACTTCAACACACATTCATTGGAGTAATTCTTTCCATCCGATCCACAAACAGGATCATCGATGAATGGGCATGCCATGTTGCATTCACACACAGCATCACCATTATCAGCCGCTCGACAAACTCCATGGAAGTCGCACTTGACTAGCTGGCAGGGATCGTCTGAACTAGGGGTCTCGGCTAGAAAGGACATCGAAAAGTCAGTCAGTCAGTCAGTCANAGATATTCCAGTGAACCTTCAACAAGGGATAATTAAAGATCTCTCTGTTAAAATATTAGTAACATGGTGTTAACTTGTGAGAATCGTTACAAGCTTGTTGCATGCAAATTATAAAGAAAATCTAATGACTAGATTTTCTACAAATGAACAAAACTGATTTAAAAGGCATGTTTACATTTATTCATGTTGCCATGGCAACAGCACATACGTCACCTTAACTATCAAAAAAGCAAAGTTTGTGTTGTTAACTTGCTTCCTGCCATTTTTGGCGACCGAGGGATCAAGGGCTTTAGAAAAAAAGGTTAATGAAACACAGGTATCAAAAACTGTGTTCAGCCACCTTAAGCGGACACCTATTAAGCGGACACTTAGCCAGGTCCCGAAATTAACGTGTTATACTTCCCTTTATAACGAGCCCCTATTCAGCGGACACCTCTATTAAGCGGACGCGGACACTAAAATAAATTGTATTTGGCTAATTTCTATTGTTAAAAACCTCTATTAAGCGGACACCGGACTGAACTATGAGGCATTGGATTACGTCCTTGAAATAGCTGATTAAATGTACCCGTATTATCGTTGCTGTATGGAGAGGGCATTATTACAAACAAATTAAAGTTGGTAATGAAAGCTGATGAACTTGAACTCTGGATAGCTTCGTTAACAACCTGGAACTTTATTTCAGTAAAGAGAAACCGTTGAATGTTAATTGTTAACAAACATTGTGCAATTGTTATAAACCTTTATTAAATGGACGCCCTCTCTAAAGCGGACACTTGGGAAGGTCCCGAGGGTGTCCGCTTAATAGAGGTTTAACTGTAATCAATCAATCAGTCAATCAGACAATCAATTAACCCAATTACTAGCCTATCCTTCCGTCAATTAAGATCTTAAATATGACATTGTACGGAAACTTTCACAGTTAATCAATTAGCTAGTCAGTCAGTCAGTCAGTCAGTCAGTCAGTCCTTCAGTCTAATCAGACAGTCCGTCCATCAGTCTGTCAGTCTAATCAGTCTGTCCGTCCTTCAGTCCGTCTCTTCGTCAGTGAAGATGATGAAGATGTTTAGAAAAGCAATGGAAATTCCAACCTTTGCACTCTTTCTCGCAGTCGTCAATGCTGCCAAAACGATTATCGTTCCCTCGACATCCTCCATAAATGAATTCTTCGCACTGTTTGGATGTGGTGTTGTAAAAGTACCTCGGCATGTAAGCTTCACACGGTCCACCGTCAGGAAGGAAGTCGCATGCTGTGCAGTTCAAAAATACAGTCAATTACTGCCCCAAAGGTAGAGTAACTACAAGGCTATAAGGCCGTAACTATAGTATTTCGGTATCACCCAACTAGTGGACTACTGCAAATCCTGCATTTTAATTGGCTACGCTACTAGAGGACTACTAGTAATAGTCCTCGAGTAGCGAAATTGGCGCAAT